TATTACATTTTGCACTCACCATTTTTATTACTCTATTGGCAGATCATTACAGTATTAGCCTTTATTACATTTTTATTACATTATCCACACTTATTACTTTATAAATTCATACAAGGTTGTACAGTGTGCTAAGATAAATTCCGCCATGTTCACACTGACAGTATTAACACGTTGACGTGTAGCAGGTAATGGTTAATTTAGGGTGTTGGCTGACATTTGTTAATTAGAACCACACAATGTATTGCTAAGGTTTTATCTGATGATGACACAAGAGGACCAGTCAGGGGAAATCTGTGGAATTGCAATCGACATGACAGGGATATGAATCCCTGTACTAAACTTAATGGCAGTCTATATTGTTAAGATATTTCTGGACCAAATCAGCAAACTGGCCGACCAACAGCCCACCATTACCAATGCTGCTAAAAAAAATTATACTGTTGGGGTCTGTGGTGTAGTTTTGGACTCTAATGCAACCAACAAAGCAGGAGGTTTGAAAAGTCCTTCAAATGGTTTCATGTATAGTTTATGACTAAGTATATTGTGAGCATAAAATATCATCAAAGCTAGAGTTTATGGCAAGACTAACGAAGACTTGTCTGTAATGATAAACCAAAAAACAAAAAAAAAAAAAACAAAAACAAAGAACATGAACAATGACGAGTCTTTAACTGGTGATAAAATCAAACATCAAAGAGATCAGAGATTTTTATTGGCAATTCATTATATGTGCAGGACATACAGTAAAATCTAAATACTGTTTCTCTCTCACCTAATGTTGAATGCCCATACATTAAGAAACTAAAATAGAATAAAAGTAGAATAAGCACAGAATAAACAGAATATGAAAACTGAATTCAAGTGATAAAGATAAACTAGATGGTACAACCCAATAGGCTATGATGAAACTCAAAGCCATGTGCAAACAGCGACAGTAGTGCAAATAATAACAAGAAGATTGTCAGGTGGTTAGCATCACCAGGGGTGTTGGTGATGGGATGCATAATAGCTTATGAAATGTACATGGATAGCAGTGCAAATGACCAACAGCAGCAGATATGATGGTAAAAAGTACAGTCAGCAACAGATTTACCTGTAATATAACAAAAAGGGGGAATGCATTGAATTTGTGCAAACAGCAGGGGTAGTCTTTTTATGTTCTGTGGTGGGTTGCGGTCCAGGGGCAGAGGGGGGGAGGTAATAGACAGCGTTCAGCATCCTCACAGCCTGGTGGATGAAGCTGTTTGTAAGTCTGGTGGAGTGGGCCTGAAGACTCCGATACCTTCTCCCTGAAGGCAGGAGTCTGAAGTGGGAGGTGTCAGACTCATAAGGGGTAACAGTCAAACTACATAAGGGGATTATACAGTAGTGATATTAAGTATGACAACAAGGCTCTGAAGTGTACTTAAGGGCAATTTCCATTAAAGGGAAACATGAGATATAGGTGAGTACATGAAAGTATTGAATTGGAAAGTAAAAAGGTGGTATTACACATCACTGCGATCCAGGGAGGGAGACAATGAGAAAAAGGTGGAAGTAATTAGGGTCAGTTATGGGGAGAGTAAAGCTAGGGAGGCTGAGGTTATGATGATGCAAAGAAGGATACGGATAAGGATAATCACCTTTATCTCAATGTGTATGTACATATCCCCATGAAAGGGGCAAGTAAACAGTAAACCAGCATAAGGCTGCGTAATATAACAAAATAAGCAGTATTAGCAAGCAACAAACAGTGCAAACAATGCAGACAGACAAATGAATGCTCATTGTGAAATGAGATAAATAGGACTAAAAATAGAGTACTTAATAGAGACCTGTACGGATCTGTATAATCTTTACAATGTACAGTAGATATACAGGTATTGCACTGAGGGTTATTGTCCAGTCATACTGTCATGGGTCAGATGTTCATCAGGTTGTTGCGAATACACCACAGGACCAGCTGCTCAACCTCCCGTCTGTAGTCTGACTCGTCAC